ATTGTTTTATGTTTTTTTTAAGCCAATTTTATCTTAATCAAAATCATAAAATCACAAACAAATAGACTTAAGTTTTTTTTTCTAATTAATTTAATTTTTGGTAATTAATTTAATTATTTTACTTATTTCCTTAATTAAAATCAATTAGAATTATGATTAATCACTTCAAATCTTTTTCTCAATAAATACCAAAAATATTTTATTAATCAATTAGATTTTTAGGGTTTCAAACTTGTTCCCATTTTAATATCTGCGCGCTTATAATTTTCTGTTTTATTATTTTTTTAATTTATTGTATATGTATACAGTTTGTAATAGTTTAACTTAGGGTTTATTACTGCTTTTAAATTTCCTCACTCCCTAGTTTTGATTATGTATCCCCGTCCCCGAGGCCTTGTAATAGCTAGGTTTAATTTCTGCCTTTTAAATTCTTGCACTATTATTAATTGTTTAGACTAATAGGACTGCATGAAAAAGACTGTAAATTAAAACGATTAGATCACCCTAAAATTGCAAGATAAATGAACTGAATCAATACACTTGCACATACTAACCCCTAGGGTATCTCCCACTTCGGTTGCCTTCGAAAAAATCACAATTATCGAAACGTGAGAATTTTTAGTGACTGTCCTTGAGTTCAAGAGATCACAAGTCCCTCGATGAACCTTTCGACTGTTGGCTCAGTTAAAAAAGTGATCTTGAAACTTTAGGACAATTACTAAGAATTCTTGCCCAGTTTCCTTAGTGACCGTAAACGTCCCTTCGATAGTCCCTCAAACATCCAACAATAAGGCTACCTACTCACTAATAGTAGAATAGCACTATCGAAAGGAAAGGAGGAAAAGAACACCTTTTTCGAGTAGGTAGATAGCTGTTAAGTACTTGCTCAAAACAATCTTTTCACACTACACTTTCAAAACCTTTTCAAAAACGCTTTATCAACACTCTTGAGGACTTATACAAGAGTTATCATAAAGCAAGCAAACTTTTCAAAATACACAAACACGAAAGCAGTTTTCAAAATGAGCAAGTACCTAAGAGCCCGTGGAAAACCACAGATGGAAAGGGTGCTAACACCTTCCCTTTCCATAATCTACCCCCTTACTCAGAAAATCTCGATAAAGGTCTTTTTCTATTCTTTTCACCCTTTCCTTTGTTGGATAAAAGAAAAGTCGGTGGCGACTGTTGCTTACGACACATTTGCAAATACAAAACATAAACCAGTATTAACAGTCAGTTCTGCCACCGTATCACATATAGGGTTAAGGTTCTTGGGTTGGATGAAGATCTTCAAGGTTCTGGGTTTCTCATGGTGGTTTTTGGATGATCGCCTTTCTAGAGAGAGGCGAGAGCATCTCTCTCTAGAATGCTTGAAGGGTTTTTTGGGTTGTTTGGTGTAGAGAGAGAGAAAGAAGAAGAAAATGGGCCTCAAGCCTTGATATTTGTTTTCATAAACCCACCCCTAGATCCCATGCATTTCCCATACCATGCGCCCTCAATCTCCGCCCTTTGATCTTAGTCAGACGCTCCAGACTGCGCAAGACCACCTCAATACCATGGACTCCCTTGCACCAGGTCCAAACAGACCTCTCCCAAATTCTGTTCTGGGCCTAAGCCCATTCCTATTAGCACCCAAATTTTTTATTTTTACTCTTTCAATAACAAACACACCCCTTACGCATTTTGGGCCCAGTTCAATATCTGAACTTGGACCCTTACTTTCCAGACCCCGTATTTTACTATCCTATTGCAAAATACACCATCTGCTATTTGGGCTCAGATTTTCTTTTGGGCCTAGATATATTTCTAGTATACCTCCAGATTTCAGTTTCACACCCCTGGCCTCTTAATAAAAATTTAATTTTAATTTAATCTTTTTAAATTATTTATTATTTATTATATTAATTTATTCATTACCGCATTTTAGCATTTTTGCATTAAATCAATTTGGCATATTAATAAATAAGTTATTGAATATTTTTAATATTTAATATATTTATGATAAATTATCAATCAAAATTATTTTCAAAAATACTAAGTCACTTCCTTCAATTACATTAAATCTTTTTCTCATGCATTAAAATTTATTTCTGCATCATATATATTGAAAACATCTAACTTATCAAATACTAACTTATTTTCTACTAACATAATCCAAAAATATATATATTTTCAAAAAAAGATTATGGAAACTTCTTTTATCGACTGCGAACTTCGTCTACAAATTTCGCTATTCACACACCCATATTTGGTTTAAGGAGAATTCAAGATATTTCTATAGTCCATAAAAAAACTCAACCAAACAACTACGAACTACGAATTAAGACTCTGATTCCTCATAAGAGGTACATAGGCACACGACTTGAAAACTATGACGAGTTCCCCTAATTAAAACTAAAACCCTATTCCTAAACCTTTAACCTAAACCCTAGTATCCTTGTGAACAAGGTAGATGAAGGGTGCGCCTAACACCTTCCTTCGTATAAAATGAGTCAACAACTTAGAATCTCTGATCCAAATTAGAGTTAACCGTTATATTCCCTTCCTTAGGATAAAAATTAATGGTAACAACTCTATAATTTTCAGCCGGTAATTACAAGTATCAATATAAACAATATAACATTATGTGCAAAACTCAAAAACAAAGAAACTATCACAATGTGATCCAATAAAAATACCAATCCTCGACAACAACGTCATTTTAATGAAGCGGTAAAGCGGAAAGCAAAAGTAAGTATTTATTTAGTTTTATCATATCGTCCCACATGGATTAGTGCTACTGAATTGTCGTTCGACAATTTCTCGCGTTTATGAGTTTGGGTTTGAATGAGTTTAAAGTAAACGCGGGAATTAAACATATGTTCAAAGTAAATCTACAAACAAAACCCAACAAATAGAGAAATGCATAAAGAAGAAAAATCAAACATCTCATGGGTTGTCAGCGCTGATTGATAAGAAATCTACCTCCGGATCATCCACATGCAAGCTCCACTGTTGTTTTTTAAGCTCTCTAGACAAAAAAATGGGTTTGATGGTGTTGGAACTCAAAAATACCCAACCTATAACCTAAAAATGTGTTTTTTCACCTATTTAATGAGTTTTGAAGTCGCAGGGTGCGCTAAGCGCGCATAGAGGGTGCCTAGCGCCAAACCTGCCGTTCTAAAAAAACCAAATTTTGTTTTCGTCATAACTTAAGAACCGTAACTCTGATTTACGCACGGTTTGAAGCGTTGGAAAGCTCATTCAATTATCTATCTAACAATGCTAAAATATAAAATAAATTGATGATTTTTATCTTCCTTAATCTGAGCCTTATTCGTTGATAAATGACTCAAAATCACATCTTTGAAGCTGTGTCTTTGGCTCTTATTGCTCAATGCTTCAACCATGCATGAATACCTACAAAATAGATAAAAACTATCAAACAATACAATATTTACACAAATAAACTATTGAACTATTATTTACACTAAACTCGGGGTTTTAACATAAAAACCAAAAAGAATAAAGTCAATAAGTGTCAATTATTCACTATCAAAAAACCACAATTTGACACTTATCATATACCCCCAGTCCTTATCTAAGCTCACAACCTCAAAAAAACTTCAAGTATCAGTTTCTTGACTTTCTACTGTTGTGTCATTCCCCTATAAAATGTGAACTTATCATGCACGAAGTTACCACCATCGTGGAAGATGGTGCTGAACACCTCCATTTCTACAATGACGAAAATACCCAACGATTAAACTATTGGGACCACATCGAAAGTACAGTGAAGAAATGTTAAACAATGCATATCTTTCGCACTATCGTACGTTGTTGTCAGGAGAACACGTTTTCCAATTTCCATGCTATCCAAGGTTTGAGATGAATACGATTGAGAAGAAGATGACATGCAATTTGAGAATTAAGGTTCATCTGGTTTAACCCTTGTCTTTAAATGATAAAATGTTTTAATTAAAAAAATGTTTTCATAAATAATAGAAAGATGGAATTGAATTATTATTTTAATAAAAAAATATCAACATGTCAATGCCATATAAGCTGATTAAGTGAGTTGGTTTAATGAAGGACCAAAATAGTAAACTTTTTAAATGGTAAGGTATAAATCTAATTTTTTTACGGAGATTTTTTCAAATCTCGTCCAAATGAGTGACAGCGAAGTGACTATTAACTTTTTTTTTATTCAAATGATATTATTATAATTACTATATCAAAAAGTTTTCAACAAAAAAAAAAGATTTTTACCAATTCTATTAATAACAAAATTTTAATAATGAAATAATATTAAATATATTTTTTCATTTCATTTTTTAAAATAATATTCAATATTTATTTTGATTTATATACACATATATAATAAATATTCTTATGCAAATATTAATTAACTCTCATTCAAAAACTATAAAATATTAATAATTCAATTACTATTTTCTTATTTAGAAGAATATATGACAAAAATCATATACACTAAATAGTAAGAAGTGAAAATTACCAATTCAAAATTTCTTCTTAATATATGAAATATTTGTTGTATATTTGTTGTCCTTATTTTTTTTAATTCTCATGGTTTATCCATATTTAGATTAGTAAAACATCGTGTCACTATTCAACTACTATTAATATTAACAAACCATGAATGAAAATGTTTGTTGGATAGAAAAAGACAAAGAAAAGAAACTTAAGAAAAGGCAAGTCAATCTTCTATTCTATTTCCACTTTTCTCTTTGTTTGTGAAACAAGTCCAAAAAGGCTACACAACATTATTAGAGCCTCCATTAACAAAGTTCCTTTTTTGACCCTTTCTTCTCAAAACCCAAATCATCAAAAGTTGAAAAGAAGGTTTTTTTCTTCTTATTATTTTCTTTGTGGATAGTTTTTCGTTTTTGGGTTGTTAACTTTTTATCCCCATTTCATCAATTTTGCTTTTTTCACCCTTGAATCTTTTTTTGCATCTGAAAAAGGGTTAACCTTTTATCATAGGAAGGGTGATTTTGTTGATGGGTGCTTGCTGGAGTAATAGGGTTAAGTCTGTGAGTCCTTCAAACACAGGTTTGTTTCCTTTTTTATTCTCTCTAGATTTTGATTCTGTGGTGGTGTTTGTAATGATTATGAGAGAGAGAGAGAGAGACTTAAAGTTTTAAACTTTAGGTATTCTTTTGTTTTCATTTTCATGTATAGCTTAATCTATTGGAATATTCTTGAGATCTTTGGAAATTAATGTTTTTTTTTTCATTTTAATGATCTGTGCTTTTTATATAAAGGGTTTTGATTTTCAGAGACCCTTTTGGATTTTATGTTTTCTACCCCTTTTGAAAACCCTACTAAGGGTCAATTTGGTTTAGGGGTGAAAAAAATTACTGTGATCTGAGTCCAACAGAATTTTTTGTTGAGACTTGTGAGTTCATGTGAATTTGGTATTAGTAAGAGTGATTAGTGTTTATTTTTGGTTTATGGTCAATGATGGTTAGTGAATTTTTGTAGGGTTCACTTCTAGAAGTGTTAGCAGAAGTGGTCATGACATTAGCTCAACTAGCAGGAACTCGTCAGCGTCGATATCGGTTGCTTCTCGAAGTGAGGGTGAGATATTGCAATCGTCCAACTTGAAAAGCTTCAGCTACAATGAGGTAAGAGCTGCCACGAGGAATTTTCGGCCGGATAGTGTCTTGGGGGAGGGTGGTTTTGGTTCGGTTTTTAAGGGGTGGCTTGATGAACATTCACATGCTGCAACCAAACCTGGATTGGGGATTATTGTTGCTGTGAAGAGGCTTAATCTAGAGGGCTTTCAGGGTCACAGAGAATGGTTGGTTAGTATCAGTTTTTCTCCGGATACTTGTTATGTTTTCTCTATGATGCTTATGCATATTCTTCTGGCTTTATATTTTAATTCATTCTATGCTACCAAAAATCTAGGAAACTGCAAGCTATTTAACACTGAAACTTCATATTAAAGATGTGTCTGATGTCTGTCACATGTAGTTACATTCAATTTCTTCATTTTTTTCAAATTATTATCAGTGTCAATGTAGGGAGAGTGTTGGGGTAGCACCTATAGTAGAAAAGTTGGTGGATAATAGACTTCGGTGGTTTGAACATGTAGAGAGAAGTTCTGTAGATTATGTGGTAAGGAGAGTAGATCAGATAGAGATGAGTCAAACTATAAGAAGTTATTAAGAAAGTTCTTGAGATTAACGATTTGGATAGAAGCATGGTCTTGGATAAAACATTATGGCGGAAGTTGATCCATGTAGCCCACCTTACTTAGTGGGATAAGGCTTGGTTGTTGTTGTATCAGTGTCAAGTCGTGGCCGAGTCTTGAGTCAGTGTTTCATAGATTTCAAGCTTTTTTGTATGCCCTATTTGTTCTCCTTTGATCTTAACATTAACAGTTCACTACGGATGGACTTGACTGTCGTACTGAAGTTCAACTGATGTCTGTTAATGGTTGTGAAATGTACAATAGTTAACATTCTTCATGCTTTGTTTTGTTTTGTTTTGTTTGGTTCAGGCTGAAATCAACTATCTCGGACAACTTCAGCATCCTAATCTTGTCAAACTAATAGGATACTGCTTTGAGGATGAACATCGGCTTCTGGTTTATGAGTTTATGCCGAAGGGAAGCATGGAGAATCATCTTTTTAGACGTGAGTATTATCTATTTCAGTTGAATTTATAATTCCTTGTTCCGTCTTGATCCTTGTAAAATTTTCTCCTTCAATAGTGAGTTAATCCTATATGTTCTAAATACCAATCTTGCTTGAAACTATCATCTTTAATACAGGTGGTTCTTATTTTCAACCATTCTCTTGGAGTTTGCGAATGAAAATAGCTCTCGGGGCTGCTAAAGGTCTTGCTTTTCTCCACAGTACGGAACCTAAAGTCATATACCGTGACTTCAAAACTTCGAATATACTACTCGATTCTGTATGTACATGACTTCATCTTTAGCGTGCTCGTTTTATGGTTGAATATGATTTAGTAGATTACTAAGTTTTTTGATGACTTGGTGCTTTGCAGAACTATGATGCCAAACTTTCTGATTTTGGACTAGCGAGAGATGGGCCAACTGGTGATAAAAGTCATGTCTCTACTCGGGTCATGGGAACCCGTGGATATGCCGCACCAGAGTATCTAGCAACAGGTATTAACAGCTCTGGTGTTTCCACCACAAGTTTCCTCTCGCATTATGAAGCACTGACACGCAACGACACTATCACGTCGATCCTGATAATAATTTGAGAAAATAAATTAATTGAATGTAATCACATGGTCGGGAAATGATACCTATCAAACGCTTGTGGCTGAATGTGTTTTTGTTGTTGTCAGGCCATCTTACGGCGAAGAGTGATGTATATAGTTTTGGAGTAGTTCTGTTGGAAATGATATCAGGAAGACGAGCCATAGACAAGAACCTACCATCAGGAGAACACAACCTAGTCGAATGGGCCAAGCCTTACCTATCCAACAAACGCAGAGTTTTTCGCGTGATGGATCCGCGGCTCGAAGGTCAATATTCACATAGCAAAGCTCATGCTGCAGCCGCCCTTGCTTCGCAATGTCTATCGATAGAGCCTAGAATCCGGCCAAATATGGACGAGGTTGTGAAAACATTAGAGCAGCTTCAGGAACCAAGAGATACACAGAAGAAAGGCTCCGATCATCGCGTTCGCAATACCGGCCTCGGCCACAATGCTTCCGGCAAAGGTAATGCAGATGCATCTAGAAAGGCTTCTGCTTATCCTAGACCTTCTGCTTCTCTCCTCAATGCTTGAGAGATTTTGTGACGCGGCGGCGGCGTAAGCGAAAAAGTTCAGAGGTTTAGGTGTTGTACTATGAACCTATGAACCATATTTATGTAAGCAATGTGTATAGTTTTTGTTTTGCATGTTTGCATTTTGAGGCACATTAGAAAATTCACTTCTATTGATCCTCCAGTTGTTTATCGCATTTGAACCATGTAGTATAAAACTGCAGCAAGCATGATATATGTTGATGATGTTCTACTTTTTGATCTTGCTTTTGAGACTCAATCATAGGTGGTGGTGAACCATACACACCATTATAAAATTTATTACAAATCCCTACACTACAACATTTACTAATATAATATATTAAATTATTTAAATTTATTTATTACAATCCAATTCAAATCTATTCCATCTATCTATTTTGCCAACCTATTTACTACTATAGACGTTAGTGGTTTGTTGCCTCATAAATGCAACTGAAGTTAACGGTTCTTGAGGTTGTTGTTCTGGCGTGGGAGTGGGTGAGATGATTATGAAGAAAAGTGATTTGGAGTTATGGGATTGGGGAAACTCAGTTTTGAATATAATTTTTGTTTTTCATTAGTTATGGTATCATTCTAGGTTACGTCTCAAACGTGTGTAGTTCAACCATTTTTTGCATTATCTTTTGAAATTTTTAATACTAAAGTTTCTTAGTGGTTGGTATTTCTCGCAATTTATATCTATCTTTTTTCCATTATCTTTTGAATTGTCAATTACTTCATAAAATAAAACTAATGATGCCTCGTTGTACAAAAATATAGAAACTAAGGATGTCTAGTAAAGGGAAACCTAGCTCGATATTATTACTTTCGGTTCTATTTATAAAAAGAATTTTATTTTTTATATTGAATAATTAATATATTAATTATTTAATATATATATTTAAAAGTAAATTTTTTCTTATAAATATGATCAGATGTAATATTGGTTTTTTCAGAAATGATCAATAATATTCACAATTAAATTAAGAAAATATAATGATTTTTTTATATGATGGGGGTGGTTTTATGTTGAAGGGAAAAATTAAAATTTGATAAAATGAAATTTGAGGTTTAAGCGATTAGACAATTTAAAAATCTGTCCTACTCAATTAGAAAGTTTCCAATTAATTTAGTTGGGTTTCAAAAATATTTTTGGTGATTTTATTTTAAAAAGAGAGGCTTGAAAATAGTTTAAGGTGTATCGTTTAACCATACTACTTAAGAAAATGCTATCGTATTTTTACAAAACACTAATCACTTAGTTAGACACAATCAGAAGAGCTTTCACCACTTCCTCTCTTTTACATTTTGAACTTTCAAGTTCTTTTGTCGGATATACCAATCATATAAGTAATCATATAAATCTCGGTTTAGTTCGAGGTCAGTCCGTGTAAAATTTCGCTTTGGTTAAAAGGATAACCTGTTTAAAACTCCACATTGCTTAGAGATAAGCCCATTTAAACACCTGTTTGACTTGGAGACTAACTGCTTGAAGCTTTGTTAGCTGTTTAACGTGAAAACTCACTGCTCCACTCCACTGCTCGCTATTTGATTGGAAGTAAATCTTAAAACTTCACTTTTCTTTGTATAAGGGGGTTCATGTGCTTAACATTCTAAAATCTCTCAAAAATTATTAGATACTCTCAAGATCAATTCTCGAGGAAAGACGTAGGTCACTTTATTTAGACATAATCTCTATAAATCGCCATTGTCATCTCCCTTCCTTAATTTTTTACTTTTTGCGTATTTTCTTTATCTTAATTTTCCGCTGCATATGCAAACGTTATTGAGAAAATGTTTTTAAACTCTGTTTTAAAAAATAATTTTGTTTCAAACGAATGTTTTTAAAAACCCTACAATGCACCCTTTCTTGTGTCTGAAGTCTTATGTTCAACACAATCATCTTGAGCATATTTGACCGCTAGCTTTAGTACTTGTTTGTCTTCATGCATTATTGTCATTCAGACCACTTTAAGAGGCGTTTCAACTTCAAGTGTTGTCATCATCAAAACTATAACATTATGAGGGCCAAGAATATCTTTCTTATCTATGAGTTTTGATCACTTCTTGATTATACATGAAAGCACATAGTTTCAAAATTTCCCTCTTTTTGATGATGACAACACATCTCTCAAGAAAGGTGGTAAAAGGAAAAATATGTTGATAAATTTTAGAGTGGTTAAACTCTCCCACACATGAGTAGAGGGTATACTTTACTCCTTTTGAGAATATACTAGTCCCCTTTTTCATAATAAAAAAGGCAGGTAAGAATGCAAGATGAGATTTTAAATATGCCAACGTATTAATCGTACAGTTAAACATATTAAAGGAAAAAATATTTCAATAATTCAAAACACACTGGAATTTAAAATACAAGAAGCAAGAAATTTCAATAGGAAAAGAAAAGTACATAAAGAAAACAAAGCAAGAACACTAAAACAAAGGACTAGTTCACCTCTTCATCATCCTCACTGTATACAATTGAGGATATGAGTTAAGTCTTCTCGAGTTTTTCAGTGAGGTGGAAAAACCTTGAATTTGTTTTCCTATGCTTCCTTATCAGTAATTGTTGATTCTTAAGGAGGTTGTTAAAGACATTTGAGGAGGAAGAGGAAAGGTCATATGTTTTTTTTGTGCTCTTGGTGGTGCCTTTAGAAGTACTGAGATTATTTCCTTGTTTTGAATTACGAACCTCGTTTGACTCAAGGTACTATTTCAAGTTCTCAACTCTATTTACCAAAAACCAAACCGGAGGTATGTTTGATTTGTTTATATGGCTAGAGTTGTTCTTTCTTGGAAAAAGAACATGATTCACCGTACAGTAAATTACTCAAACATCCAGGAATATTAAGATAACAGTAAAGGGAGTGAGAATGATGGAGGTTTGATTAGTCAAAAAGGAATTGGTAGTAAGATCATTGTTAAATTTTTTACCTTATTCACTTTCTACATATGCCCGATTGTTGTAAGGAAGGTTGCAAACTTGTGCAAACCCTACAAGACCTATTTAAATGGGATGCTTCTTAATTTCGGAGCTGAGAGCACTATTTGAGTACTTGAGGTGGCGTAGAACAATCTCACAAAGTAAACAAAGTTCCTCAAACCGTCTACGCTGAAGGCTTCAACAAAATTGCACTCTTTGAAGAGTTGCTCATCTAAGTAGCGTGATTTAACGATTGATCTATCAACATAATACTGGTTGTAGTTGGTTTTTTCTCTTGTGTAGAAAAGATTTTGGAGTAGTAGGAGGATGAAGGTTAGGTGGTTCGAGCTCTTTTGGGTGCCATTGTGGTGATGATAAAGAGATGAAAAAAAAATCTAAAAGTACTAACACAATGCACACAAGAGACGAAAGGATGAGCTGAAAAAGAAGAAGAAAGTATTATACTTATTTATACTAACAGTCTAATATATTAGAAGAGGATCATAATCTATTAGGTCATTCAATACATGCAGGTGGACTTTTGAACTAGCTATTGTGCTGGTTTTCAAAGCTCTACGTGATTATCTCATACCTCTAATCGATTATTTAATGGGCCAACATTTGAAATTTGAAATTGCAACTCATCTAATTGATTAGGTCCCAAGCCTAATCAATTATTTAGTGCATTTTAAGTCTTTTTAGAATTTTTAAGCCTTCTTCATTCTGAATCCACCTCTTTCTTGAAAAATGCTAAAGGCTCATTTATTTTATTAGTAAAAATTATTTTAACTCAATGAACGAATAATAAAAGCACTTATTTAAAGGTTTAATAATAGTTTTGAAATTATTCAACCTTTAAACAGTGTACTACCTTGGTTATCAAGTAACCTTGAAAAAGATTTCCCCTTTAAAGAAAACAATAAGACAATATCATAACTCATTCTTTATGAAATACTGGATACTAGAGTTGGTTAAAAAGAGTTAGACATGTCCCCCACAAACTTATAACCTCAACCTAATAAGAGGTGATTTGTTCATCACAGATCAGAGATGTTGAGACCATCCTCAATAAAACATTTCTTTGATCACAACCACTAATATACACAAATCAACTAGCATCCTAGGATCATAATCTTCTTATAAAAAATTATTGTATACTCTAAGGTATACACTTTGCTTTGCACAACTTTATTTAATATGCACTAAGGTTTCATTAAAGCTACAAATTTCCCTACAAAATATACTAAGTTTTCACCTTTGGTAACCAAATTTTCTTGGGTCCTGGTGCGTTGGTAGCTCTAAGAGGTCTAGGGTTATTACCTTTAGACCATATTAGTTTATCAAAACAAAATGGCTCTAGATGTCCAAATCTATTGTAGTGAGAAAATTTAGACAAAATACTCATTTTTGTCCTTTAACTATAACCTTGGGTTCACATTGGTCCCTTAACTTTTTTTCGTGTCATTTCAGTCCTTTTTGTCTAGTTAGCGACGAATTTAGCGACGAATTTAAAAGTTTTTTCGTCGCTAATTAGACAAAAAGGACTGAAATGAAACTTTTTGAAAGTTAATGGATCAAAATGACACGAAAAAAAGTTAAGGGACCAACGTGAACTCAAGGGTATAGTTAAGGGACCAAAATGAGTATTTTGCCGAAAATTTATATATAGGTCGATTTGCGTTCTTCCTATTAATTCTCTTACTATGTATTCTATCAGACTTAAATCCTAATCCAATTTTACTTAAGGAAGGAATTTGACTTGATAGAATCAATTCAAAGTTTCATTTACCATCAATAAATTTACTTAGGATTTCATACAAATATTCTACTTTCTTTTTCATTGAGACATAAGTCTCACATGTTCCAGCTATGTTTCTAATATTAGCTATTTCGTGCTTAATTGTTTCATTACTCTTTTCTAGAAACTTAAGATAATCTTTAAGGTCTAAGTTACTCTTTTTAATATTATAATTTTCCTCAGTTAATTTAGCGCTTAATTTGTGTCATATCCCAAATTTGTCCGCCCCATTTTTAAAATATTCAAATTATTTTTAAATTTGGTTTCATAAATTTTTTTT